AGAGATGGGGATAATGCGGAAAGAAATGGGACAGCTGCTAATTAGGGTGGAAGAAACGGAGGAGACAGTCAAATACCATACCCAAATTATCCCAAAAATAGAGAAATTGATAGTGGATACCCGGAAGGAACAAAAAAGACTGCTTTATATGATGGAGGACCAAGAAAATAGAGAAAGGAGAAACAACATTAGAATAAGAGGAGTCCCAGAGTTGCTACAGGGGGAAGATTTAAAGGAGACCACATGCAAAATTTTGAACTCCATAATGGATAGATCTGGTGCGGAGACGTATAAATTGGATGGAGCTTATAGGATAGGAAAATTCCAACAAGAAAAAGGCCCAGAAAAATCAAGAGATATAATTGTCCAATTTCATAACTATGGAGACAAGGATGAGATATGGAAGAAGATTAAGGGAAGATCGAATATTAAATATGGAGGAAAAAAATATTCAAATTTTTGCAGATATAGCACCTGGGACATTGAGAAGAAAAAGGTCATTGAAACCATTGTTGGAACTGTTGAAAAGACATAATGTGCAGTATAGATGGGGTCGATCAGCATGTTTAATCGGCTGGAGAGATGGAGTCACTGCATTTTTGAGAACCCCTGAAGATATGAAAGAATTTTGTAATAAATTTGAACTGCAGAGAATAGAGATCCCGGAATGGGAAGAGGAGGAGGGAGAGTCATACATGTTGGGAAAAGAGGAATGGCAGCTAATTAGGAGAGAAAACAGAGAGCAGATAAATAGAGGGACACCGGGGAGGAGGGGGGGAAGGTGAGCGCCACATGGACAGAGCCGAACTCCCAGGTAGGAATCAAAAGTGGGACCTTTTCCACAAATGATTCATAGGCAAACAAAAAGCCTAATGGGGGGGGGGGGGGAGGGAGGAGTATCTGAGGGAGGAGGGGTAAGGGGAGGGAGGAGGGGGGGATTGAGAGGGGGGAGAGAGGTGGGGATGAGGTGGGGGGGGGAGGGGGGGATGGAGGGGGGGAGGCTGGAGGGAGGGAGAGAATTAGGGAGGGACTGGGGATAGGGATTTTTAAAACTGACATCTTGTATGAAAGGAGAGGTATGGGGAGGAGGAAAAGGAAAGGAAGGGTAAAAAAAAAATGGAAGAAGTCAAATAAAATATGGAGGAAATACGCTTGGTAACCCATAATGTAAATGGATTAAATTGCCCAGGTAAAAGATTTAGACTATACAGGGAACTACAACATAGAGAGGCCTCAGTTGTCTTTTTGCAGGAAACACACCTAGAGTTAAAAAAAAATATTAAGCTAAGCTCTAGACAACACCCGACATGGTATTATGCAGATTCCCCAGTTAAGAGAGCTAAAGGGGTAGCTATAGGATTTGCAAAAAACATTAGGTTTGAACTAGAAGATAGAAAGACGGACCCGAGGGGAGGTTTCTGTTCTTGAAAGGTAAACTACAGGACATAGAATGTACGCTTGTAAACATATATTGCCCTAATAGAAAGCCAGAGAAGTTTTTGAAAGAGTTATGAGAAGATTGATGGACTTTGGAAAGGGATATCTAATAGTGGCGGGAGACTTTAACATTTGTATGGATCCACAAATAGATACAACATCCAGAGTACAGAGAGGGGAAAACAGGTCCATGGGATTATTGAAAAGGGTGATGAAAGAGTGTCAATTGGTGGATAGCTGGAGAGTTGTTAACATGAGAGATAGAGATTACACCTTTTTCTCTAGTGTACATAGGACATACTCTAGATTGGATTATATTATGGTAGACCATCGACTCGTTGAGGATTTGGTTAAAGTTAAAATAGAAGCAATAACTTTCTCGGACCATGCACCTGTAGTATCGGAATTAAGATGGGGAGGGAAGGTATCAGGAGGCTTATCATGGAGATTGAATGAGACACTCCTCATGGATCCAGATACTGATCGGAAGATCAGGGAGGAAATAGAGAGGTTCTTTGAGGAAAATGAAACAGGGGATGTATCACTAGCTACAGTGTGGGAGGCACATAAAGTATATATAAGAGGTATCCTTATTGCGACTGGGGCAAAGAAAAAAAGGGAAAGACGAGAGAAGATCAGTGGGCTTTTGAAGGAAATAGCTGAGATGGAACTCCTACATAAAAATAACATAAGGAAAGAGATAGAGCAAAGAGTGATAAAAAAGAGGGAAGAACTAGAGAAAGTAATGGAGGAAGAAAAAATGAGAACTTTTAATAAGATCATTGGAGAAAGATATAGATGGGGGGAGATAGATCAGGAAAATACTTGATGAGAGCCTTGAGGAGAAAGAAGAATAGAACTACATAGATAAAATAAAAAACTCCAAGGGAGAGTTAGTCCATTCAACCAAAGACATTGCAAAGGTATTTAAAGATTACTATAGTAAATTTATACAATATAGCCCCCAAGGATGATATAAATAAAGATAAAGTGATAAATATTGAAAAAAGAAGAGATTATTTAAGGAAGGCAGGATTACCAAAATTAAATGCAGAATTATTAAACTCCTTAGAATCTGATATCACACAAGAAGAACTACAAATAGCATTAAAAAGCTTTAAGACGGGAAAAAGCCCAGGTCCAGACGGGTATACAGTAAGGTATTATTAAAAAAATATCCTGATTTACTGGTACCTAAGTTAAAGAGATATATGGAGGCGTTGGGGGGAGAGATGGAGATAAGACAGGAATCCCTTCTGGCACAGGTGGTTTTGATACATAAGGAAGGTAAAGACATCACCAACTGTTCAAGTTATAGACCGATATCATTATTAAACGTAGATACGAAGTTGTATGCAAAAGTATTGGCGAATAGGTTAGGAGATCTGATGCCAGATTGGATACATGGAGATCAGGTGGGTTTTGTTAGAGGAAGAGAGGGTCGAGATAATGGGTTGAGGTCCCTGATGCTTATACAGAAAAGTAAATTGGAAAAAAAAAACAGTAGTGCTGCTCTCGATTGATGCGGAGAAGGCGTTCGACAGGGTTAACTGGAGTTTTATAATAGACACACACACTGGAGATCTTAGGATTGGGTAGTAGGATGAAAGTGGATTGGAAAGTTGTATGAAGGACCATCCGCGATGGTAATGGTAAACGGAGAGAGATCAGAGACCTTTTCTATGTCAAATGGAACCAGACAGGGATGCCCACTTTCCCCACTGTTGTTTGTTCTATCATTAGAACCCCTGTTATCAACAATTAGGAAAAATATAGATATAAGGGGAATAAATATTGGAAAGACAGAACATAAGATATAGCGCTTTTGCGGATGATTTATTATTCTATGTTGGAAACCCGAGAATAACACTTCCTAACCTAATGAAAAACACTGAAAGAATATGGGGAAATGTCAAATCTAAAAATCTACCCGAGCAAAACAGAGATATTAAATATAAATCTTCCAAAGAGTGAAAAAGAAAATATACAAAGAGAGTTTCCCTTTATATGGAAAGATAGAGAAATAAAGTACCTGGGAGTAAAACTTACTCCCTCACAGAAAAATCTTTATAAAGCTAATTATATCCCAATGTTAAACGAAATCAGAGAGGAATTGAGGAAAATGGGTAGTGGGAATCCTTCCTGGCTGGGTCGTATTAACCTGATAAAAATGGTAATTCTCTCCCGAAAGTACTGTATAAATTCCAGATGATTCCCATTAATCTCCCAGAGGTGTATTTTAAGACAATTAAGCGAATGCTAACTAAATATATATGGAAAAATAAAAAACCTAGGATATCATATGATGTGTTAAGCAGAAATAAAGAAAAAAAGGGGGGCTGGGATTACCGGACTTTAAAAGATACCATAGGGCAGTCATTCTAGCAAGAATTTTTGACTGGACACATAACTCAAAGAGTAAACATTGGGTCACGATTGAAAACACACTTAGTAGAAAGGATCTGGGTAGGAGTGTATGGGTGTCACCACAGTTTAGAGAATTAGAGGAGAGCACGAGTATATACACGAGAATTGTAATAAGGAGAGGGATAAAATGCACAAACAGAGGAAATGGGACTTCAATTCACTGCTGATGTCACTAAGAAATTCAGAGTTTTTCCCCCCAGGTAAAGAGGAAATTTCAGGTAGATGGATTATGAAGGAAGACACTCAGCTGAGAGATGTAATGAAGGGGGTACACTTAAGAACACTGGAGGATTTGAAAAGGAAGAGGGAAAGATTTTCACTAGGATAGATATATGGAGATACAATCAATTGAAACAATTTGTGGAGAAATTGACGAAGCCCCTTAGAACTAGGAAAGAGTGGAATGAATTTGAGAAATACTTAGAAGACAGAGGTGATGGGAAACACAGCACTGCTAAAGCATATAAAACTCTCACGGACTTAGATAGTAAGTTTAAATTAAAATATATAGAAAAATGGGAAAAGGATCTAGGAGTGGAGTGGGAAAGAGCACACACAGAGGAAAATATTTAGAATGGTACACGAAAATATTAGCATGTGTGAGGTAGAAATGAATTTTAAATGTTTGACAAGGTGGTATCTAACACCGGTGATAGAGCACAAGATGAGTGAGGAGAAGCAACCTTGGTGTTGGCGAGGGTGTGGTGGGTTGGGCACGATGTATCACATATGGTGGGAATGCTCAAAAATACAAGTATATTGGGAAAAAATTATAAATCAAATCACGAATATCACTGGAATGGAGATAGGACTGGACCCTGAAACCTGTCTTTTTCATAACTCAAAATTACCTGGAAATAAATATAGAGAACTGAGTATATTGTGTTACTTAACTAGTTGCCGACCGCAGATAGCCGAATGACGGCTTCACTGCGGCCGGCCAGTTCTGGGTGGACGTCATATGACGTCCCCCCAGAACGCGCTCTCCTGCGCGCCCCAGGGGGCGCGCACCCGGCGATCTCCGTGATCGCTGTGTCCTACGGACACAGCTGATCACGTGATGTGGTAAAAGGCCAATCACAGCGGCCTTTTACCACATGATCAGCGGTGTCCAATGACACGCTGATCACAGGGAAATGCAAGTGCCGGTTCTCGGCTGCACTTTCCTCACGCTGTCAGATCGTGAGGAAAGTACTGCCGAGAACCGGCAGTTGTCACAGCGGGGATCGGCACCGATCATCAGGACACTGATGATCAGTGCCCTGATGATCGGTGCCCAGCAGTGCCACCCGCAAGTTCCGCCCACCTGTGCCCAGCAGTGCGCCCACTAGCTCCGCCCACCTGTGCCCAGCAGTGCACCCACCTGTGCCCAGCAGTGCACCCACCTGTGCCACTCTGCAGTGTCACACACCTGTGCCCAGAAGTGCCACCTACCTGTGCCCAGAAGTGCCACCCACCTGTGCCCACCAGTGCCACCCACCTGTGCCCACCCACCTGTGCCCACCACCAGTGCTGCCCACCAATGCCACCCACCAGTGCAGCCCAGCAGTGCTGCCAGTCAGTGCCACCAGTCAGTGCCCAGGGGTTGTGCCAGTCAGTGCCGCCAGTCAGTGCCCAGCAGTGATGCCAGTCAGTGCCGTCTATCAGTACCCATCATCAGTGTCACCTATCTGTGCCGCCTATCAGTGCTGCATATTAGTGCCGCCTATCCGTGACACCTCATTAGTGCTGTCTATCAGTGCCGCCTATCCGTGCCACCTCATTAGTACTGCCTATCAGTGCCCTTTAGTGCTGCCTATCAGTGCCCATCAGTGCCGCCTATCAGTGCCCATCAGTGCTGCCTCATCAACGCACATCAGTGAAGGAGAAAAAAATACCTGTTTGAAAAATTTTATAATAGAAACAAAGAAAATCTTTTTGTTTTCAAATTTTTTGCAATTTTTTTATTTATAGCGCAAAAAGTAAAGCGCCCAGTGGCAATTAAATACCACCAAAAGAAAGCTCTATCTGTGAGAAAAAAATGATCAAAATTTCATAGGGGTACAATGTTGCATGACCGCGCAATTGTCAATCAAAGTGCGGCAGCGCTGAAAGCTGAAAATTGGCCTGGTAAGGAAGGGGGTATAAGTGCCTGGTAGGCAAGTGGTTAAATGCAGCAAAAAGTCTGATTCCTAAGTTCTGGGGTAAAGTTGAGGCACCGAGGGAAGAGGACTAGATGAATAGAGTGGACCAGATTGCTAGACTGGAAAAACTTTATTATATACAGGAAGATAGGATGGTGACATATCATATGAAATGGGAGAAATGGGAGGAGTTCAAAGGGAAGGTAAAGGAAGGTACTGAGTAAGTAAGCATAAAGAAAAGGGAAAGAGAGGACAAGAAGAAAGGAAGGAAAAAGGGGAAGTGACAGGGAGAGAGAGAAAATATAGGAATTGGCCTTTCTTTCTTTCCTTTTCCTTTTCCAGGCCTCGGTCTCCAGAGGATATGAGATACAAGTAGATCAGATAGATGTCAGGGGTATGTTGAAGCGGGGTGGGAGGTGGGAGGGTTAAAAGGAAGGGAGTCATGGGGAGAAAATGATTTGAAATTAGTGTTTTATGAGATTTTGTAATGTTATATTTTACACTATGGAAATGTGTATTGTCTTACTTGAAAAATGAATAAATATTTAAATTAAAAAAAAAAAAGAATTTGTAAAAGATCCCCCCCCCCCCCCCCCAAACCATATATTTTCTGAAAGCACATGACCTGTAGAATAAAAAAAAGGTGATTTTTAAAGCCCCACGATATTAGCGTAAATGTTTAGCAAATCAATTTCACTAAAAATATACTAAAATCATTATTAGCAGATAAAAATACATACAATTGTACAAATTCCTGCTAAATTCCTACTAAATATAAAAGCTTAACCTGTGTTGAGTAATAAATAACAAATATTTGCTAATTTTATATTGCACCTTTTTGGAAAATGGTGAAAATCGAACATAGGCAAAAATGTAAATATCCAAATTTCTCAAAAAATCTGCAGGTTGGAACAAGAGAGCCCAAGCGAGCCATGGAAGATGGCATGGGGGATGACGACACACATCTCCTTCCGCTGCTTGTAACAGAAATTAACTGGATAATTAGCCTTCAATTGCTATTACAAGAGAGATGACTGCCAGCTTTAAAAGATGGTACCAGGGCAATGTCACCTTCTGAATGCTACACATTCAAGTCTGAGGAAGTGCCACAAAGGCCCTGCAACTGCATGCAATGCATGCGGTTGCAGCGCATTTTTTTCGGCAAAATTGGAGTTAAAATGGTGTTCCTCACTGCCTGTCAGTAGCCTCTGGAGTGTAATCTGAATGCGGGTCGGGCTTCAGCAGAAAGAAAGATTTAGACGCAAATCTAAATCTACCCTTATTAGGTTTTTTATTTTTTTTTTGGGGGGGGGGGGGGGCTCTGGAGAGACACCAGGGGTCTAGACTCCTAATGTCTATTTTTTGAGACAGAGAAAGGGACTGAAGACAGGCCAGTGTTCTGTAACCTGGGCTGCAATGTAATGGATGAGATAGGAGTCTGTATAGAGACTCCATCCTATTCATTCACAAACTGGCACATACTAAACACAGTTTACTATGTGCCAGTGATGAATGGACAGATTGATCACTACTGATTCACTTTGTTCATTCAGGAAAGAAAAGGGGCTGGTAACCATATGTTTACCAGCCCTCCCGCTCTCCATCCTGATTGCGATTTGTCACTGACAGATCGGCAGGGTCCTGAACAGAGCTGCAACTGGCATGAGAGTTGGAGGGAAAGCCAGCTAGAAAAGCTGCCTGGGGGGGAGGGGCTGACGAAGATTGGTGAGTGAGGAGGGCGCTGATGGGGGATCTTTGCGTGCAACTGCCGTCAGGAGTGGCAATGGAAGGAAAGCCAGCAATTTCATCGAATCCACAGAGATCCATCTGTGTGGCGAGAGGGGTGCTGATGCCAGGAGTGAGCATCGGTGCTGGGGGGCAGGTGTGAATGCAGGAGACAGTGGGGGAGGTGGGAATTTTAGGCACTGCAGGAGGGGAGGAGGCAGTGGGTGGGCTACTAAAAGGCGGCGGCTATATCGGCAGGGGGGTATTTTAGGTGAACAGCTCTGATCAGCGGCTTGTTAGCTGCTAATCAGAGATATTGTTTTGTTCAGAAGAGTCTGCTGAACATTTTTCTGCTATAAGCTCATTGTCACTTCAGTAGAATGTAGGTCTGTACAGCGTATGGGTGTGGCCTGCTGGTAGCAGTGCTGCACGAACCTGGCAGTGAAAGGGTTAAAGCGTTAGTTCCCCTTTACAGAAAAATGTAAAGGTGAACTAATACTGGCCACCCGCCATCCTGGAAGTGCTTTCGGTGACATCCTTTCCACTGTTCATGTTTTCTGATGTGCAACTGACCTCGCTGATTCTTATAAAGACTTTTTAAAAAAAATATTTTAGGCAAATGAAAAATAATAATTATTATACAGTATTTATATAGCGCCAAAAGGTTTGCTCAGCACTGTACATTATAGTGGGGGACAGAACATGAGACAATACAGTAACAAAACAATACACGAGGGGTTCGAGGGCCCTGCTCTTTCGAGCTTACAATCTACACTGAATTTTCTTTTGCTTGAGCTCCCATCTACCGTTCACATATAAAATCACCAGTTAACAGAAAACAATCAATGTTAATTTGCTGTACGGCAGAGAATTGCACAACGCCACAGTTTAAGTACAAAATAAATTCCCCATCATTGATAATGGCATTATCCACAAATGCGCCTTAACTTAAATGTAATCCAGGTAAAGGAAGTGGTTTCTAGCCAGCTAACGTAGAGAACACATTTTTATGGCAGCGATCTGAGGCTTCCTTGTGAATGTCAATAATTCATTATAAATATAGCAAGGACTATTACTTATTTGCTCATTGAGCTGGAACAGCTGGAAACTAATAAATCATAAAGCTGTTAGTGTGTTTGGTTTGGACTTATGGAGCATTAATAAAAAAAAAAAAAAAAACTATGTAAATGGCAGTGAAGCGACTGTGCATTTCAAGTGCTGTCTAAATGGCACTGTGTACAAATATCTTGCATGTTAATAAAACCCTTAACATTATATCAAAGCAAGGTATCGCTTTAGTAATACTGTATCTAATGGATGCACTGATGACTGCGATGTCTGTGATTTAATGTTCTCTTTAACCTTCTTGAGTAGGGGCAGACTGACAACTCCTGGGGCCCCCGGGCAATAGGGGATCATGGGGCCCCTGTGTCCTTGCCCAAACTCAAAAAAGCCTATGAAAAAGGTACCAGGGGCATCTCATGGGGCCCCCTACTGACCCCGGGCCCTCGGGCAGTGCCCGAGTTTCCAAATGGTCAGTCCTCCCCTGGTACCAGCATGTAATACCCCTTCACTAGCAGGCCATTTTCCAGCATTTTCATAGTTTGACTAACGATTACTCAGTTATGCAAGGCTGTACCCAATTCAGTTTTATATCAGTTTTTGAGACAGATAGAGCTTTCTTTTAGTGGTATTTAAAAACTACTGGGTTTTTATTTTTTTACTATAAAAAGGAGAAAAGACCAGAAAGTGTGGGGAAAAAAACTTTTTACCTTACTTTCTGTTAAAATAAAGAATAGTACAAAAACCCTCAAAATGACCCTTTTTTTGGAAAATGGACACCCCATAAAATGTTTTGCCAAATTTTTTGAAATGAAGAAACATTCCAATACTAAATGGGGTGAAGCACAGCACTTGAGAATGGTGCACAAGAAACATTAATGTACAGGTCATCCCACAGAGGAAATGATAAAAGTTTAAACGAGCGCTAGGTAAATGTGACGAGCAGCTAGCATGAAGGTAAAACCTCAAACTCCCTCCTATAAACCAGTAATCGTATAAATGCAGCGCTTTTACAAAATATATGAATAAATAAATATATCAAACTATATATGTGGTATAATTATCATAAATACATGCGCTGTGGAGCGCTATATCCACTAGTGAAAATAACGTCTTGATAGTGACGTTTAAAGTGCGGAAGTGACACAGTGATTTATTATATTTGTGTAACTTCTGCACTTTAAACGTCACTATCAAAACTTTATTTTCACTAGTGGATATAGCACTCCACAGCACATGTATTTATGATAACTAGACCATATATACAGTTTGATATATTTATTTATTCATATATTTTTGTAAAGCGCTGCATTCATAATAACATATCGTGTCACTGAAACAGAATGAATGGATCTGAAGCTAATTCATTCTGTGCCCATTCACAAATGCTCGAGCTCTCTCCTTACCCTTTTTTTACAGGATAACCGGGAGGGATCAACACTATCAATAATACCATGTGATCACTGTGATGACCAATCACAGCAATCATATGGTATCCAACCCATCAGATTGGCTGGATACAGTGTCTCTATTGACAGCCGGGAAGTCAGTGATTAGTGGGTGGATCAGCCACTCAACA